CCCTTGCAAAAACAGGGCTGGAAAAGAGCAAATAGAGCGAAATGAGGCATGGCTAAAATGCATGATCTGTTTGGTATTTTGAAAAAAAAACTTCACAGAAATGTTTTATATAGGTATGGCCCTACAATATATGTTTCAAATATAGCATGATAGGTCCACTTTAAAGTACATGAGAGTAGATGATAAGAGCAGGTTTAGCAACCAAAACAAAAGCTTTGCTGCTGTGCGTCAACATCTACAAAAGTCACTGCAGGTTGCATCAGGTATTGGACAACAGTGAAATGGATAATGAGCTCATCATTAAAGAGCCCAAACTTAAAATATCAATCCACAGATAACCAATCAATCAATCAATGTTTATTTATATAGCCCAATATCACAAATGTTACATTTGTCTCAGTGGACTTCACAGTTTGTACAGAATATCAGTATGACAATACGACACCCTCTGTCCTTAGACCCTCACATCGTACAAGGAAAAACTTCCAGAGAAAACCCAAAGTTTAAAGGGAAAAATGGGAGAAACCTCAGGGAGAGAAGTTTTTCCTTGTACGATGTGAGGGTCTAAGGACAGAGGGTGTCGTATNAGTTTTAGTTTTAAATAGATAATCCCCAGTGGTGTAGTGGGGATTTTTTTACTGGGTGGACGGGGTGGTGGTTGGACGGGAGACACTATGGACGCGCTCGTGAACTGTCAACGGGGGGGGGCTTGGGGGACCTCTGTGTCGCATGTCAGCGCAATTTACATGATGCCGTTTAGACAATATAATAATAAAGGGCGGTGCCGGCTGTCAGCGAACCGATCCGGCCTTTCTGCGTGACTATCACTCAAATGCGGGACATAGTCTCAATGTGTGGGACGCGGGACAAATAATAAAAATGCTGTGTGTGCAGTCCTGCAAAGTGCGGGACACCTGGTCACCCTACACACACGGTTATGCCCCTCACACACACACACACACACACGCTTCAAATCAAGTTGCATAAATGCTTGAGCTACGTTTTTATTATAATTACTGTGAAATCTGCCTATTATGTTTTCGTCATTATTACAACAAACACACACTTGCAACTGATAACACTGGCAATGATTTTAGATGTATTAGACTATTAAAAAAAGAAATCATGCTTCAAATAAGTGGGGTTTCGGCGTACCCCCGCGTCCAACGCCCACTACACCACTGAATTAATCCCTATTCTCCTGCCTGGTAGTGTGATTACGTTGCATGTTAGCATGCTGAAGATAGCATTTAGCTCAAAGCACTGCTGTGCCTATGTATAGCCTCAGAGAGTTGCTAAATTGGCTGTAAACACGTAGTTTGGGATGGTAATCCCTAATTAAAAGTTATTTCGAGGGTCACTTTCAAACACAGCTGACTTTATAAAGGTTGAGGGTGTTGTGGTCAGGTGACAATCAAATGCAAAGTAGCCGATTTATTATGCATACTAACAATATATAGACAGTTTCAGACTAATAGCCTGTTCAGTCCAGTCTTTAAGCTTTGTGAAGGTAGCCTCTTGATCATTATCTCTACTCATCGCTCATCGCTGCACTCATGATGGTCACCTTGACTGAAACGATTGAAAGAAAAGATGAATGATTGCACTGAATGTGGAACAACTGTGAAGCCATCTGTTTTGTGTTTGTGCAAGGGTCCTAATCCCTACCTTGAGCCTGTTTTAACCAAACTTTAATCTTTCATTAAAAGGAATATTCACAACTACACCCACAACACACTCAGACTGCTTACTTTGCCTATAAACAATGTTCAATGTTAAGGCCGAATGTAACAGGGACCAGCGGAGCTAAAAGCAGAAGTTGCCCCTGAACTACATGCTGAAAGTTAATGTGCTCAATCAAAGTGAAATGAAAGTGGTTCCACGATGTAAGAGGAAGGTCAATCCCGTGAAAAACGTCACTTCAAGGTGTCAAACCAGTGCAGTTCTATTGGTGACATTCAATTCCAGAACTGGCTAAAACAAACAAATAGCAAAGGCCTTTTCTGATGAAATTTGGTCGCAGCCCATTAACTCTGGCTTTTTTCTCGGTATTCAGGAAATGGCATGTCAGCATTTCAAAGGAATGGGGTCAGAGCTAATGCCATCTCTGGGGAAGATGTTTGTTTTCTTTCTCTTCATGTTTTGACATATGCATTATGGAGAGAGAAAGAGAGAAAGTGAGTGAGGAAGAGGAGAGAGACAGTGGAATATCATTTTGATTCATTTTTTAAACCCCCCTTTAAAACCCTCTCTGTCTCTCCATTTCCATGTAGTCTGATCAATACTTCAATGCCCAAAACTACAGGAAAAACCCCAATACAATTACAAAGCACACCATGCATGGTCAGTGAGCCGACTGACAAACCTCTTAAGCGTTGAGTCACACACTAATGATGTAATCTGCTGAGCGCAATCAGTCTAGTCATAGTGCGAGGGATTAGGATGCAGCGTTGTGGATAGGTGCCTGTGCCACACCTATTATTCGCGTCCCAGAGCCGGGCTCAAATCCAACACAAGGTCACTGTGGAGTCTATGTCCCAGGCCAGCGGTGAGCAGGATTATTCCATCGCATCAATCAGCGGCCATAAACTTCAATTAATCTTTACAGGTGACTGCTTTTACACCTTGGCCTTTGAGGAGAGAGGGACTAAAGGCATAGAAGCGCTGCTGGGGTGGAGATGCAAGAGGACAGGAAGGCAGAAAGACTAAAACGATTTCAACTAAAGTAGCCAAATAAATCAGCTGTGAATAAACAGTGGACCAAAGTTGTAACTCTTATCAAAGCGTTCACTAAAATAGCCTGCCTCCTGGTATTGATCCCCTGAGGAATGGATGAAAAATCTTGTAGACAACTACTTCCAGCTAGTTGCAGAATATCACTATGTGAGTGATTTGGAGTATGTGGAGGTCAAATGATTTGACAACGTTAAATCCAGAGAGGTCGGGACAAGAAATGGCACCATATGTGCGTTGATTTAGCAACAACATTTCAAAAGTCAGGAAAGACGTATTGTAGGCTAATGAGCCTCAGATCTAAAACTGACCGTCCAGTGGAAACAAAACTCATTAGATCAACTCTAATTCATTTTGACGCACTGACCTGCTCTGAGAGTCACTAATGGATCATTATAGCTGAATACAAGACAGCTTTGGAAACTTAACCTAGATGTGTGTGCGCATGTGTGTGTGTGTGTGTGTGTGTGTGTGTGTGTGTGTGTGTGTGTGTGTGTGTGTGTGTGTGTGGAGAACAACTGAAGCATGACCAGCTCCCCCCTCCATCAAATTATCTCTCTCCCTCACCTTTTCCCCTCTCATTTTAGGACTACTCCAAACCAGGGTCAGCCAGAGAGAGATTATGGAGGTGATCTCACCACAGAGACACAGGACAGACAGAGTGAGAGAAACAAGTGTCGTCCGAGGACACGCTGCACACTGACAAATCTGTGACACAGAGGGAATCTGGAATACCCAGTCTGTAACTTGTGAGTTTTCTTGGTTAGTCAATGTGATGTGAGTGTTGATGTATGATTAATGTCTGTGGGGGTGAGTTCAATTAAATTGAATGTCTTAATGTAGCTGCCAGACAGAGTAAAGCAGTAAGAGAAAGAATAGTACTGGCAGTGTATATAAAGGCAATAAAGCTAAAATGCCTCGGGGTGAATATATTTCACTCGGCAGTGGGGATGTTAAGACACAAATGCACTGCTAAAAATGATTATGGTTAGTGTTGGATTACCTCATTCCGTTTTAATGACAAGACGTCAGGTTATGAGGACTTCTTCCTGTTTGCATAAACACAGGATGACTAAGATTGCTGCTTCTTTGACAGAACTAATCTATACACACAAACACACACACACACACTTTGATATTCACTTCCAGTTGAGTAATTAGCCCTAAGCCAGAGGACTGAATATTTAATATTCCCTGAATTACATGCTATACTGTCCTGGAAAAGGCGAGTGTCAGTTGGTGCTCAGTGGGCCATGTCAGTGTGCAGAGCACCAGAGGAAGCCAAGTTTTCACAATATTTTCTCCAGACTGTTAGTTGTGCTTTATGCTCAATCAAAGGAGGGATGGACAGGGCAATAACAGTTTATATAAACACACAACAGGAGGTTCCTCTGAGAGGGAGCGCCCCTACAGGATAAGGTGTTCACCTGTGGACAGGTAGCGCTTGTTTGATGACTTCTGACATGTGTTCTGTAACAATTTAATGGAAAATTCATCCAGTAGCATAAGATATTTCACTCAAAGGCTCAAATATGAACCCGCTGAGGCATATTGAGAAAAAGTCAGGGGATCACCACCAAAGTCCCAAAGATGCTCACATTTGCCTGCCCTCCCATCCGTAGATTCACTTCACCCCGTCATCCTGTCCACTCACCTGTCCCCATTCCCTCATTAGCTCTCCAGTGTTCAACCAGTGAGACTTCAACCAGTTTGCTGCCAGATTGTCTTTGGGCTGGGGCCTAATCTTTCCCCAGATAGGTACTAGCAGTCTTTATCCCGCTAGTACCTATCTTTAACTAGTGTTTTGGCCTCAGCCTCTATTTCCAACTTTTATTGTTCCTATACAGCATGACTTTAACCTTACTCATGACCTTATAAATCTCCCAAACCATAGGCCTGCAGCAAAGGCAGTAAAGACTCATTGAGTTAGATTAATGGTGCTCTAAAGTTTAGAGCACCATTAATCTAACTTTTATATTAATTAATGCATCAACTCCAGCACTATGGGGTCTCACTCTCAAAATAACTCATAATAAAAAAACTCATCAGGAGGACATGCTGACGTTATTAGTGTTGATTGTTTTGCTCGATAAAAGTTGCTGCCAAAATACTGTCATATTTGCTGTTCAGCGGTATAACAGATATCAACAACGTGCCAATATCACAAAACTGAGCCAATTCCTTTTGGCAGAGATAGTAATGACTTCTAATCTTTGCTGAATTATGTTGAGATTTACATCCTGAAATATTTTGCGACAGAGATGTCAAGAGACACCAGGGAGAAGAAGAAGAAGAAGAAGAAGAAGAAGAAGACAATGGAGACAGCAGCCAGTAAAAAGAGAGGAAAGTTACATAAAGACTGGAGGCGTGTAAGTCATTAATGAAAACAGAATTACAACACACTGCTGACATTTCTGTCTGAGAACAAACGACATTATGGACAAAGTGGCATTGTCCGTGCCAGAAGAAATCTCTGTCTGGTATTTAAGGCGTTCCCTTGCGTCATGCTTTGTTAAATGATTAATCACTTCTGGTCCCTCCTTATCGTAACTATATTTGGCCTCTTCATCGCCATGAGCAGATCAATGGAGGGTTCATGTCCCACAGTGACTCCCTCACTCTTTCTTATGTGGGCATGGTGAGTGCAAGAGTCTAATCCTACTATTTTACTATTTCTTCTGTGATTTGTAAATAAATGTTTTCCGAGTGCTGGTAGCTGACCTTTCTCCTACAGAGTCAGCTGTAGTTCCCTCTGTAGGATACACTGTCAATATTATTTTCTTTAGATAAGACGTCAATGGAAAAGATTGATGGAATTACGCTGCCAATAAACACAGTGGTGAATCCGTGCGGCTGTAAACAAATCCTCCCTAGAGTCATGATCTCCTTTTTGGAAAGTTCCACACAGGGGCCGCTTTGCAGTCAAATGCATTCTCACCTGCTGCTCTTTTAATAAAAAAATAAACGCTTTAATAGACATTTTCCTTATTTTTCTGTGGAAAATGTTTAGGTTGCTAAGGTCTAGGTGTCACAGCATTCTTTATTTTTGTTTCTGCAAACAAATCTAATAGTCTCACTAACTGATGTTAATCTCCTAAACGAGTGACAGCCTTAACTCTTGAAACTCTAATACGAGAATGTAGACGTTACCAGTAAAAAAACTGATGTCATGTCATAAGAGACGGATTTGAGTCAAGAGTCGTCAAGATTTGGCAAGACTCGACTTGCAGGCTTTTCAGGGTGCGAGCAGAGGGACATAAACTCTGAGATCAATGAGAGTTCAGCTCTCACTAATGCTTCTTTTACTCAATATTGTAACATTTGCCTTGTATCTATCAATGTATGTTATTTTTGGTTCAGTGACAATTCAATTTTTTGTATTTGCTAAACAAAAGGAAAAAGCCTGAAAGAGATAACATTTACGTGAAAACACGCCACCACACAGCAACAAGGAGGCACAATAGTCAATAAGGAGAAAGAATAAAAAGTGATTGAATCATTAAAAAGCAATGGAAAGTTACATAAATGTCCCCAATGAAACTTTCCCATCTGTTTCTAACCCAGATAACGCATCTCCCAAATTAACAAGACCCCTGTGTCCCACACAGATGTGCCCTCTGGCTCATCTGCCTCGCTTCACCTTGCCTGGTAACCTTTTCTGTCCCACCTTTGAGCCTAAAGCAGGGAGCATGTGCCGCGGAGGAGACAGGGAGATGGATCATTGAGCTTGAGGCTACGCACCGGATGTGTCCTCTCGGAAGTGTGAAGGTGGTGCTAAAAGATGAGGCACACATACGGAGGGCATCGTGTCTTCACTGATGAATGACCTTTTTTTGTCATTTGCTAAAAATGACATGATTGCTGATTTTAAGAGCTGGGGAAAACATTGAAATGAATTGAAAGGAGTGAAATAACTAACCCCATGTGCATGTATTAGTATGTACAAAAAGACCTTGCCCATGTACCATGTGATTTTCCTTAAAGACTTTAAGTACTATAAACCAGAATACAATACATAAGCACTTGAGTTTTCATAGTTTTCTAATTACGTTATACTTGTCTATACCTCCAGTCCATCACAACTCATAGACAAATATTGTGCTTTTTACCTGACTAAAATTATCTGGCTGCTTTAGTTACTTGTGACTCGTTGGTTAAAGATTTTCCCATAAAATACATCAGATTATTTGATTTTAAACCAACGGTTCCCACACATTTTGGCTTGTAACTCAAAAAAAGTGAGTGACTTTTAACTTTTTTTGCAATGGAGTATTTTAACATTGATACTTTTACCAAAGTAAAAGATATACATATTAGTTCCCCCCCCCTGCTCCAACCTGCACCCAAACTCATCATGAGGTAAAGGGTGAGGACTTGGCTGCCAGAGTGAGAAAACGAGTTAGGAGATTGCTCTCTTGGCAGATGTCTAAATTGGAAAACCTTGACTCTTAAACATCTGAAACCATGTGTTATCGGGCGTAAATTGACAAATACATTTTGGATTATAAAGACAGATTCCCTCCCGTATAAGTAAGATTATTAAATATTATATTAAAATCAAAAGTAAAACGTTCTCATGTGCGCTACACTGGGCCGTTACAGATCTCTCCCTTTCTCCATAACGTTATTTAATAAGGGTTATGAATCAGTTTGAGCATGAAATGAAAGACTGATCCAAGATTATGACGTGATTTAATATCAGACCGGACGGACTGGCAGAGCAAAAGAGGCTTATAAAGATCAACATCAGATTATTGATTAAAAAGTAAAAATTGTTCCCTGATCCCCAGAAAGTCATCCTCATCCATTCCTGCAGTAATCTATTTTCCTCATTTGTTGAAAATATATTACAGTATCTGCAGATTGAGTCATATTTCAGTATTTGAATATTAGATGGATATGTAGATTATACTTGTTTTATTTTATAATTGGTACGAGTCTAAAATGTGAGGTGCAAAATATATGAACATCATTCTAGATTTGTGATGTTTTGTGAGAGTCCTTTCATAATAAATATTTCCTTAAAATACATTAAATGAAATTTTTAGTAAAAGAGCACTGACTGTTTTCTAAAAAAGGGCATATTTCCATGGAGTTCTTTCTAACAGCAGTCTGTTTGTGTAAGCATGCTATGAGAACGCTACACTAAGGAGAGTCTCCTCCAGGCTGCAAGAATAAAACCCCTCACAGCCCGCATGGCTGAGCCTACTGATGAAATAAGTATAGCATCTGTGATCCTGAGATGTTCAATCTTGATATACAGTGGGAGTTTTTATGTGGGCCTGAATGCAGCACACTGGAAAGACTCATGGTTCACAGCACAATCTCATCTCCACTCAGCGAAGACACATCACACCCAGCTAAAAATGACAAGTGCTCAAAATCTGCCTTTGCTCTAAACACTTGTTTTGTGCAGGCTGGAGCTGCAGCTGTCTCTTGTTGCTATGGTCTTTGCTTTCTCTGAAACTGGCAGCCCTGTTGACAGGCAAATGCAGCAAACAAAGAAGAAGAAATGAACAGAACATATCATGCTGCATCACCACCAGCTCTGTGAAAATGGACCATTTGGCAGCATAGTGCACAACAAAATCATTGTTTTATGTTCCAGCTTTTTTCATTGGCTTGTTCAATACAAAGGAGGATAAGAGCCAGTAGAGAAAGGTGCCGGATCTGATTGTAGTTAGGGTAAGAAATCAACATGAGGAGACAGACAGGCCCAAAGAGAAGCAATGGCCCTGAGACTCTAGTAGCTTAAATGCAGATTATGAACAGTATGCAAACAAAGACCCTGAGATTACATCAGATATGGAGGTCACGACCTCTGTCCGAGTAAGTGATTTCTGCTAAATGGTTGAGTGACCTCTAGTAAAAGCTTTGTAAGTTAGTCACATTAGACCAGAAATCATTAAATCATTCCGATGAAGAGGGACATCTGTTTTCTGGCTTTAAATCCTGATATTTACCCGCCCGCTATCTCCATGGCTAGAAAAAGCCAAGCGTCATATACTAGGATCTCCGACCTGAAGCTCGATATGGGCCTGGGTCTAGCAGCTGACACACAGGCTGATGAGATGCCTTTACTGATCTGGTGTCTGCTGACAGCTAAGTAACGTTCAATAAATTCCCCGTCTCAGGTAACCCACTGTCGTGTTCAGTGTTTACCATAAAGGGCAGATGTGATGGGCTCCTGTGACATGATAAGGTGTCAGCACTGAGTGCAGAGAGTTACCTGCTTACAGTGAACACCACGTGAAACAGGAGAGGCCTTAGTGCTACAGACTATCCTGTATGACGGAGTATCAGTTTTACATTACAGTCTCAGAGCTGGACATTTGACGACAAGTACGATGCTCAGCTGTGATCAGATTAACAGGCACTGTAAGTTATTTTAGAGGAATGGAATTTTTGTGAAATTATTCTGTTTCTCGCTTGAGTGAAAAAGCTGGGCTGAATTTTGTAATGAAGCTACAGCCAGGATACAGTTGCAGCATGAAGACTGCAAACTGGAGGGTTTTTTTTAGGACTAAAGAGGATGTTTCTATTCTTTGTGCTTTGCTAACCGGCTGAAATGGCTGTATCAATCGTCCCATTTAACTCTCAAAAAGAAAGCATGCACTTATAGACTTGTGTCTTTTACAAGCTAAGAGGGCAATAGCTATAGAATGGAAACATGTGAACAAACCAAGTAAGAATAAATATATTAAGGATCTGTCAGCATGTGTTGCTTTAGAAAAACGAACATACATTACTAGAGGAAAGCTGGCAGTTTTTGAAAATATCTGGGGGTGGTTCATGGAGTTTTTGAAAAAGAATGTTGGTAATGATCAATACAACCAAAGACAGGGGCGGGGAGGGGGGCAACGGGAATAAGATGTAGTAGCTCACGTCATATTTTTTCTGATATCTTGACGATTTCGGTACTTCGTTATCCCTGTATCATCTGTATACCTGTGTTTATTTACAAGCCTAATCATTTGATTGTACGCTGTATCTGCCACCTAGACTGACCGTTTTATGTGTGTGTAATGTTTGTCATATTTTAAAACTTCAATTAAAATATTGTTAAAAAAATAAAAATAAAAAAAACTCAAAAAGAAAGCAAGATGTCAAACTACATCATGATGGCTGACAGCTGTGTCGTCTGAACTTTAAGGAAAAATGATCTGTACTCCAGTGTCATCCCTCAAACAGTGTTCTTGAGCTTTACTGACATTGTCCATCACTGCAGCAGAGAAACTCTGGCCTGTCACATTCCACTTGTCTGTGTGTACACTCAGAATTGCTAAGGCAACAAAACTGAAATGATCTTAAGTGGCCCCATTGTGCCAAGCCCACCACTCAGTGTAGCCATGACAACACATTCACCAGG